GGGCAGGCTGCAGGCGGGAATCGAACTCATGAGGAAGTGGCTTCAGATTCTCAGTGCTGTGCTTTAACCCGCTGCGCCACCAGGGAGGGCCTGCCACCTCCATTTTAAACACTGAACTTTGCTAGGATATTTACCATTTAATTTTCAGAAGTTGTATCTGCAAATGGTTACTGAAAAAGGAAAACACAAAGCAGGCAAGTACTGTTAAGCAAATGTGTAATAAATACTTTTTAATTACCTGATGGAATATAGGCTCTTTTACCTTAAGGTAAACCTGCAAAATATTAAAAGAAACATATGTGAATGAAGTGCATGATGGGAAAAAGAAAACCTGTTTCAACAACTTTACAAATTCCTCTTCTGCTTACCTAATCCTGCTATGTAGATCTACACCTGCCATGTAAAACTAGTCAGACTAGGTGGTATGAAAGAAGGATTTGAACCAGCTAGAACTGGTTCTCCTTCAGTTCTAGCCTAACATGGTAAACTAAAGTTTCACAGCAGTGGTAGAGTAAGTACTCTGACCTCTTCACCTCTGCATGAGCATCAAAGAGGGGCAAAAATACACAGATAAGCAAAGGCTGAAATGATTTTTTTGATGATCCCTCTATCTATTCCACAGCAGAAAGAACTCCATACTTAGAGACAGAAGTTTAATTTCAAACTGTGCTACCTGTTAACATGCTTGAGGAAGCTACTTCACCAAAAACACTCATTTATTTCTTATCTGGATAATGGGAATAATAAGAGTCAGGAATATAAACTTAAATATATAAAAGAACTTGGCATTTAGTAGGTTTTTCAATCTGTGAAAACATATAAAACAATTTTTTCTGCTTTCTTTTAATTCTAGAAACCTCTAACTCACCTGGATGCATAACTTATTCACCTGGATTCATTCCCATTTATTAAAAAAACTATGTTTTTAAGGTTGTAATGTCAAATGCAATAAGGGTGATTAAATTCAATGCCTATTTAAAATTTAGCATGCGTTTATTGCCTGATAGGGACACATGGTAGACATTTAAAATGACACGGTAGAGAATTTTAGTCATACCCTGAAATGACTTCCATCACTTACAAGACAAAGTTCTTATTTCAGAGATTTCCATGATCTCACTCCTGCCCTCCTGGCTCTCTTCTTTCTCCTCTGAGGCTCCAGAAAATACAAAAAAAGCTAATTCATGCTTTTGTATCTTTAAACATGTTGCTTTTTACTTTGTTCAGAAGCTCTCCCCTGTTACCAAACAATCACCTTTAAGGATTAGGTTCAAATGATACCTCTTCCTGAAGCCTTACAGCCACTCCCCTTCCTTTATAGTTGGTTGCCCATGAACAAACTTTATGGCACTTATTTATTAGTTTGTTTTTTTTTCCTTTACAAGGCAAGTCTCTTTGACTGCAAGGACCTTTGCATAAAGATCTTTATATGCTCATTTAATGTAGTGGTCATCTCATAAACTTTTATAAAATTTTACAATTTGGTTATAGAATTTTTTATTCATGAGGAAATTTCTATGCTCCCTACAGTAAGGGCAGATCATTTTCTTTAAGCACCAACAGAGTTTTAATAGTACATGTATATGAAAGATTATCTGTAACTCTAAACTTAGTAAGCATCATGCTTTTCATCTCTGAAATTTGTTATTTCAAAATACGTATTTCCCTGTATATAGATTCAGATTCTCGTGAAAGGGCATGGCTCTTAAACATAACATTTTTTAATTGGTTGATAACACTATCTATTTTGGGGATACAGGTTCATGTCTTTTTCAAATGTACCTAACCATACCACATCCACCACCACAAAGCACTGATAATCATTTGCCTGAATCCAGTGGGCTCTTTCCTCCTTTTGCTCACAACTCTCCTTCAGATAACTGAGTTTCGCAGTCAGATTTCAAGAATTTGCTTGGGTTGGTGTCACCTTCCCTTGTGTTATTTCTTTCTATCCCACACATGAGTGAAATAATCCTGTTTTTTTTTTTTTCTCCTTCTTTCTTATTTAAGCTTAATATTCAGGCCATTGTCACAAATGGCTAGAAGTCATGTTCAAATAGCTGAATAGTAAGTATTCCATCATGGAAGTATATCACATCTTATTCATTCATTTATCTGTCATTTAGCAGTTAGGTTGATTCTACAGGCTGACTATTGTAAATAGTGTTTGATGAACATAGCCGTGCATGTATCCCGTCCAAGCAGTGTTTTTGTATTCTTTGGGTAGATACTTAGGAGTTGGATTGCTGGGCCAGATGGTAGATCTAGTTTTAATGTTTTTGAGAAACTTTCATACTATTTTCCATAGGTGCTATAGGAGTTTATATTCCCACCATGTACAAGGGTCCCCTTTTTTCTATTTCTTTGACATAACTTGTTGTTTCTGGTCTGTTGATATGTGCTATTCCACCTGGTGTGAGGTGGTATCTCATCATGCTTTTGCTTTGCATTTTCCTGATTAATGATGTTAGCACTTTTTCATGGGTCTGTTGTACATCTATATGTCTTCTTTGGAAGAGTTGCCTATTTGGATCTTCTGCTCGTTTGGTTATTTTTTAATTGTTTTATCTGTTTTCTTCTTGTTGAGATTATGCGTTCTTTGTAGATGCTGTGTATTAGCTCCTTTTTTGGATGTGTGATGTGCAAATATTTTCTCCCACTCAGTAGGATGTCTTATCTTTTTTTTTTTTTGATAGCTTCTACTCTTTCATTGATGTGCTGAGTTACATTAATTGATGTGTATGCTGACCTATTCTTGCATTCCTAAGTTGTTTTTTTTTATCTTTCCAAAGAACCAGCTTTTGGTTTCACTTATCTTTTGTATTATCTTTTTTATTTGTTTTGCTTATTTCTGCTCTAATTTTTATTATTTCCTTCCTCCTTTGGCTTTTGGTTTTATTTCCTTTTTTTTTCTTCTAGTTCTTAAGATGTAAATTCAGATTGTGAACTTTCTTCTTTCTTGATGTAGGACTGAATTGCTAAATATTTCTTTCTTAGTACTGTTTTAATTCTTTTTTATAGGTTCTGGTAAGTCATATCTTCTCTTTCATTTTTCTCCAGGTATTATTTATTTCTTCTTTGTTTTCCTTGTTAACTCAATAGTCACACAGCATGTTGCTTAGTCTTCACATATAGGAATTTTTCCCAGTTTCTTTCTATGGTTGATTTCTGGTTTGATACCATGGCAACTAAAGGAAGTACTTGATAAAAGTTTAATGGATCTATTGACACTTGTTTTGTGACTCAACATGTGTTGAAGAATGTTGCAGGTGCACTTGAGAAGAATGTGTGCTCAGTTTTTTTGAGGTGAAGTACTCTGTAAATGTCTCTTAAATTCTTTTGGTCTAATTCCTTATTTAAGGCCATTGTTGTTTCCTTATTGATTTTCTTTCTGGTTGATCTCTCTATTGATATAAGTGTGTGGGGGGGCGGATCTTAAAAGTCCCCCTACCACTATCATGTTGGAATTAAAGACAATTTTCTTCAGGTAAAAGAAATTAGAGTTCTTGCTGTATGCAGCCATTAACCATAATTATATAAAATGTAAGCTATTGTTATCTTCATTTAAAAGATAAATATGACTAAAACAGATTATGTAATTTGCCCAAATTTGTTTACAGTTATTAAAGTAAACTCATACCTGACTAATTCTTACATATACGCTTTCACCATCAATTTTTAACTTACAAAGGGGTATAAACTCTTGACTGTCACCAATTCTCCATATGAAGCTGGTTGGCCAGGCAAGTCACTAAACTCTCTGGACTTTTTCTCTTCTCTATACAGTCACAAGATTTCCTTTCATCTCTGTAATTTGAAGATTCTTTCATAATTATCAAGCAGTTTAAACAAACAACTGTACAGGGCAATGTACAAATGGAAGAAAAGTATATATACTCTTTCAACCTCCTACTTACCTTTCAACTCACTGAAACCTAGCTTCTGCCTCTATCAATCTATTGCTGACAATATTCTTATTAACACCACTTGATATTTTACTTTTTGGGGGTCAAATATCAATCTTCACCCTCCTCATCCTCTCAGAGTCAACTAACACTGTTACTCCTTTTGGGAAATCCCTTTATACCCTGGGACGTCAAGCTTTCCTAGTTTTCCTACCTCTGTGGTTACTTGTTTTAGTTTCCTTTGCAAGCTCTATTTCTTCCATCTCACCTTCAAATGCCAGTGCCACTGTATAGCATGATGGTTATATTTAACAAGACCATATCGACTATTAGAAATTTGTTAAAAGAATAGATTTCAGGTGCTCTCATTACATATGAAACATAACTATGTGAGAAGATAGGTTAATTGGCTGGACTACAATAATCATTTCCCAACGTATATGTCTAGCAAATCATGATATTGTACAACTTAACTGTATACAACTTTTATTTTAAAAATAATGATTTTTGTTGAAATGCTTATGTATCTTATGTATCTAATTTTATCATAAAAAGAGTTTGCACACTGATTTGTTTGAATGTCAAACAGGCAAGTTTAACAGTAACTTTTAGGATAAAGTATCATAAGGCAAGTATACTTTTTAAAGAGGCAAGTATATTCTTGCCTCTTTAAAAAAAAACCAATGTCCCATAGGATGTATCTCTGGTCTTTTTCATGGTCTATGTTCTTATGTGGCAATTTATCTAGTCCCACATTTCTGGTACTACTTACTCAGACAACTCTCAAATTTATACCTAATCTACCTGGTAAGCCTCAGATTTCATTAATATAAGTTACTTTAATCTCAACACACTCCAAACTGAATTTATCTTTACTTCCTCTGACAGAAACTTCATTTTCTTTCCTGCAAAATCAGCTCTTCTTCCAAGATTCTGTTCTTGGTTAAGGACCTTGTGTGTATGTTGATAGCTAGGCCATAAATTGAGAACTCATTTTATATATTCCCTATTTTACTCCATTTCTATTCCCTAAAGATTATTTATGACACTTGCTTTCATCCCTACAGCTATTTTACTCTAGTCTGAGTCTATTATCTTGCCTAAGTAAATGCAAAAGTCCCTGGTTCTAGCTTTATGTTCTTTTAACCCATCCTCTATAACCAAAGTAATCCTTCAAAACCAAATATCTAATTATGTTTTTCCTTCACTTTAAACCAGTTAAAGGCTCCATACTACTTTGAAGATAAAAATCCAAACCAAAACATAGTATATAAAGAAGGCTTTTATAATCTGATATTTGTCTTATTAACTAAATTCATTCAGTTCTCACCACTTAACATATGCCTCAGCATATTAATTCTCTCCCAATTCTACTAACAGGGATGATTTAATGAAAACCCTCCCAATTCCACGGCAATGATGATTTAATGAGTAAAGTACTCAGTACAGTATTTGGCACACAGTAAGTGCTTTAAAATGGTTGTCCACTATGCTGTTCCAAAGTTCGCTTACTATCAACAATGTAATACTTTATTTAGAAATAAATGGTTCACTACACTTAGACAGGGTTCAGGCAAACTCCTAATTACAAGTAAAAACTCAGAACAAGTGCCTCTTCTTTGGGGCTTTCCTTAAAACTTAGTCAAGCAATTTTTATTCATCTTTCTTTATCTCACTGTCATATATGTATATAGTTTTTAACTCAATTAATGCAATTATCATCTTTTGATGCAATTCTTTGCTTACAAGTTTGACCTCCCTAGTAGAATGCACTTCTAAGCACAGCAACTAACTACTTCTTAGTCATCTTTGCATTTTTTACTGTTTGTTATGATAGGTTTGTAGTAAAAGTCTGTTGAAATGAATAGTCTCTTAACAAAAACATTAATTAATGTTTTTAAGGAAAAAAGCATTAGGGCAGAATCAGAAGTGACCAGTTATCTCAACTTACTAGGAAAAGGTTAACCATTAAAGTAGCTATATTAAACCTAATGAAGCAGAGCCAATCTCTTTCTCTCTTTTGTGTTCTCTCTCTTTCTTTTTTAACAATGAGGTGATATGCCCATCTTTAAAGAAAAAAAAAGTTTTCTCCCATTGCTAGTAAATATTAACCTTTTGTGTTCCCCCATTTAAAGAAAAACCAGGTTTTAAAAAAGAGTTGTTTCAACTTTTTGTTAAGAAATAACCTCTGAGTAGGAAAAAAAAGGAGTAATATCTCTGAGTTACGTGTAGAAACATTTCAGTTTGAACAGCACGAAGTAAATGCTGGAAGCAAAATGTGCCAAACTAAATGAATGGGTAGATCACAGGCTTAATTTGTTAGAAACAAAATACAACTTACTGTGGTTACTATTAAACTGAATAGAACTAAGGTAAAAAGCAGATGGTAGTTTACTGAGTTCTTGATCTTGAAACATTCAAACCTTAAAAAAAAAAGAGAGAGAGAGAAAGAGAGAGAGAGAGAGAGAACAAGAAACTTGTTTTAGAATATGTAATAAGGAAAGCAAACAGAATGCTGTTTCACCACTTGTATGCATATACCTGCGCCTTGCGATACCCGTTATTTCTTCTACCCATAGTCTCATTTTAGAGAACCCAAATTGCCCATAAACTCTACGAGGCAGGGGAGGTGGTAGGGAATCACTAGTAGGCACCTGAATTCAAATGAAATCAACAAGAGTCTGTCTCATGAAAATCTGGAGTTTGGGAGCCAGAGACTGAATCAAGTAAGTGAAGAGTGTCGCAGTATAACACCCTATGGACTCCAGGTTTGACACTGGTGTTTAGACAGCTAAACTGAATGCACAAGTAGATGAATGAACAAAGAAGTAACTTGCAGAGAGGGAAAAAATAAGCAGAAACAAAGACTTGACGCTATGTGAAGTAGAAGGACTAGAGAAAAGAGAGAGGAAGGGAGCAGCCCTTCCAGTTCTATGAGGCTATACTTCCTATTACTTGTTTCTGTATGAGGTCCTAAAGTCCTTAAAATTGACAAATTTTTTAAAGTAGAGCTGGTTTGTGTAGGTTCCTGCATCTTCGGTGATTCCTAAAGCATACAATTGTAATTGTCTCTTTACTTATTGTCTCCCCAACAAGGCTGTGAATTCCTTGTGAACAGGTATGAACTCTCTTGTTGTTGTTGTTCATATAGCTAATAATATACATATATTATTAGGATAATATCTGTCACATAAGAAAATTCAGTAAGTAAGGAAATATGCACAAATATTTCACCATCAGTAAGTATTCAATCTTTGAGCCTATGCTTTGGTACAAGCAACAGGACAGTTCTTCCAGTTTACTAATTAATTGGATGTGGGCACTAGACAATCCAAGGGCCAATTTCTCAGTCCAAGCATGTTTTTGCAAATAAAATTTTAATGGAACACAGTCACATTCATTTGTTTACATATTATCTGTGACTGCTTCCAATATATTGCAACAGGGGCCAAAATCCCACAAAGCTTAAAATAATTATATGGCCTTTTACCGAAAAAGTTTCAGATCACCTTCTTTCAATTATATAGTTTTCAAAATGCTTAGATTTTTTTACATCTCTTTAGAAGACGACATTGTTGAGCTAGCAATGATGATCATACTGAAAAAGAATCAGATTTAAATGTCAGTGCCAGGAACAGAAGGTATTACTTAGAAGATAAGGATATAAACTGTGTCACTCAGTCATAGAGATGCCCTCTAAGAAATGTGTCACTTGGCAATGTAGTCATTGTGGAAATGTCACAGAGTATAGTCACACAAACCTACATGGTAGCCTATACCTAGACCATGTGGTATAGCCCGCTGGACCACTGTTGTCTATGAGGCCCAGTATTAACTCAAATGTCATCAAGCAACACACAATAGTAGTTCAATTTCCAGCTCTTACTACCTACATGAACTTAAAGAAATCTCCTAAGCTTATGCTTACTTACATCCTTAGACAAATTACTAAATGTCTGAGTTTAATTCATCATCTATGAAATGGACACTATCAATTTATCTTGTATAACTTTGAGAATTAGAGATGACTTGGTATGTCTAACAAAATTATAGGTACAAAGGGAAATATTCTTTTTACGGCATAATATATACAATATTTATACAAATTTGCATTCACTCGTAAGTAAAGAAAAGGCAAATCATATAAGTAAAACTAAATAAAATTCTACCTAAATTATTTGTGGGGTTATAAGATCACAGAAGGTAATAAGCAACATTATTATTTCCTCACAGAAATTATAGTCTACATTAAGATTGCAAATCTTATAATTTTCTACCTACTATAATCTATGAACAAATACAAATTTTAAAATTATTAAACAACTGAATTTTATATACAAGTACTTACATGCAGTAGACAAATATACAACAGCTATATATCATTGGGAGTTCATCCAATAGCTAGAAGAAACAAAGACAGTGGGATGTGAATATTGTAGAGATGCAATTTTTATGAAGATAAAATATCAGAAAGATTAAGATGGTCAACTCATATATTTTATTAATATTTATCATTATTTAACTTATTGAGTGTAATATTTAGTTTACTGTTTCCAAATAAAACAGCTCATCCATCTGTCTGTCCTCATGTATACACCTAAGTAGGAAATCTAATTCACTGGGCAACTCAGATCATTTGGTATCATGAACTATGAGATCACACCTCTAGGAAAAATGATGTATACCATTTAAGGGTCTGTGGGTCCTATCAATATTCTTTTGCAATTCTCCCTTTTCCTAAGATGTATAAAATGTTTACTATTCATTAGAAGAGATACTGATCCAAAAGTCATTTAATCTAACCACCTTTTATTTCTAAAAAAAAAATAGTGTTATTATCAGTAATAGTATGTATAACTATTATATATTAAACTACAAGCTAGATGCTAGGTTAAGTGTTACAGCTTAAACCAATAGTATAGAATTTATTTGCTACCTACACATATACCTAATCTTTTTTTTATTTAAATGTAATAACTTGTAAAATTATCAAACAGCTGAATTTTAAACACAAGTACTTACATGAGATAGACAAATACACAATAGCTATATGTCACTGGGACATTTAAATGTAATTTTATATTACATTTATTTTCCTACATCACTGTTAATTTCCGGACCGTATTTGATTTCTCCCCTCAGGTATAGTTTCCAAATTTCTCCTATCACCATGGCACCTGATGCACTTAGTTCTTTAATATCATATCTACTAGGAAATGTATCAGGAGTTGAAAATAAGACATAGTCACTGTCTTGAGGGGACTCATAGTCAAATAAGTAGCAGGAATGAAAAACATAGTCAAGTTTCCAATAAAAGAGATACACAGAAGTCAGAGAAGGTAGCAGCAAGAAATGAAATGGGGCAGTAGAAAAATACATTCTAGGAAGAAGGAAAAAGCTCATGCAAAGTGATATATTCTGGTAAACTATCAGAATAATGAATATTGCAGCACTTGTGCAAAGTCTTATAATTAAATGTTTTACATTCATTATCTCATTTAATTTCCACAACAAAGTGGGAGAATCAGAATTAGAACTCAAAGAGCCAACTAGGAATAATAAATCTGAAGAAAATATCCTCCAAACTTCAAATCACTCTTAAGAAAAGAACTGTTAATATTTACTGGTACCCAGTTTAGACAGATGTAAAAAACTAGACCTCTAATTTCTCTACAGCTGACAATAAGTTTAGATTGGTGGATAGTTTGACCAGAGTGAATTGCCTCCTTGCTTCAAAGACTGCATAGCAAATGAGGGCCTAAATAGCTGGGCTATATTTATCCTGAGAGGTGACAAGACAGGGAGCCTGCAAAAAATATTCACGATCATTTTATATAAAGAATAAAAAGATGGAAAAGCTGCTTAAAAAAGCTCTTCAGCATTGATGAGTCTTTCCTTCTCAATCATTAGGAGAATGGCAATGGGTCATGCACCCCTTTTGCCCAGTTAGGCAAACAGGTCTTGTTTTAGCACATTCATCCAGTTTTTTTTTTTTTTTTTTTTTTTACATATGGGACACACACACACACACACATACTAACTTGTGGAGTTAGTGATGTAATAATAACATAATGGACAACAGAAATGATCCTTGAGAATTAAAAATTTATCCTGATCTTAGAAAGCAGCTGTTGGAGGAATGTCAGAACAAGACAAAATGCTTTTTAAATTCTTCCAGTTACCTATAACTGTATAGCAAATCACCCCAAAACTTAGCAGCTTAAAATAACAATATTTAGTTTTCTTATAAACATGCATTTGGAGCAGGGCTGGACAGTGATAATTCACCAAGAATCAGCTGAGAGAGATCAGTAGCTGGGTGTGAAATCATCTAATGACCCACTTGCTCAAATTTTTTTTTTTTTTTTTTTTTTTTTTGGCAAGTTGATGCTGACTCTAGTCTAGTATAGGGTTTCAGATGAGGTTCTGAACATGGTGCTGATTTCAAGGATAAGCATCCTAGGAGAACTAGGCAGAGCTATACTACCTTTTTTATTTGGACTCAGCTTTGGCAAAAAAGCAGTATCCCACATCGTCAGGAGAGTCCAAGACATATTGTAAGAAAACCATGTGTGGTGAGATATATTGGTAAGAATATCTTTGGAAGACAATAACCTGCCTCTTCTTTAGTACCCCTATGAACACAAGGTAGCATGCGTTAGGATGAAGGGTGGTTTTCTGATTGGCTTATTCATATAACTATTTCTCCAAACACCCTGGCAGTATTTTAAAGTATCTTTTCTTTAAAACAACTGTAAACACGTATTTTCTTTATTATAAAATATCTGATGTTAATTACAGAAAATTTGGAAAATGTAGAATGGCATGGAGAAAGATATAATTACCAGTTCACTCACAACCCACAGATAATTATAATTTAATATTCCAATGCATTTAATCATTCACTCATGTGGTTACATGCCCTTCCTTCTTTCCTCCCTCCTTCCCTTTTATTTATACATGGCACATGCCATGTATGCTAAAGATAGTGTTATTTAGGAGAAGTGAGGTCTCTGCTCACAAGTTTATATTCTAGATGGAAGAAATAAGATAATTTCCAGTAGCAATAAGTGCTATGAAGAGCACTTCATAAAGTAAAGCAAAAGCAATTTGTGAAAGGGATTGCTTTAAATAAAATGATCAAGGAAGACATACCTGAATAGGCAATATTTGTACTGACGCATTAAAAAGAATCAAACATGCAAAGATTTGAGAGAAAAATATGTACACACACGCATATTCAATTTCAATTCATCATCAGGGTCCATTCCAATTTTTATTTTTTATCTGCAACTCTGTTCTCTGTGAGAAACAGACTTCCACATCTAAAAATATTTATTTAATTAATTCCCCTGCATATATCCAATATTCGATTACAGTCGCCTCCTCATTCCACTCAGGCTTCAACACGTTGTGACAGGCTGCTGAATTTCCATTTGCATGGTCTCTTCATCTTGCTCATGCTCCCACATCCCACACTGGGCCTTCCTGCCATGTAGAAGTCATCCTGGCCATTTTCGAGCATTGAATCCCAGCAAGAAGCTGTCTCCATTGCATGAGCATGCTCCCTGCCCACTCAGATTCCAACCATGTGCTAAACCTACTTGCATGGACACTCTTCTCTTCTGCACTTAACTATCCCTATGCACAAACATACTCTGGACTCTGACACCTATGTTGGACTTCCTTGCTGCATGAGCACCCTCCTCACGCCTAATTAGGCTCTAGCCCTCCACATCAAACTATTTTCCCATGTGCACATCCTCATTCTACCCAGCTCCATCCAGTGATGCTGGAGTGCTCTCCCCTGAGATAGGGAGACCCTCCCCACCATGCTCAGACTCCGACTCTCCACACTGGGTCACCCTCCCAAGTACAAGTCTTTCCACACTCAGGCTCTGATAGCCCAGCCTAAGCCCTTCCCATTTTTAAGATTGCTGTTAATATTACTGACTGAAATGCTCCCCTTAAAGGGTCATGTTTCTCCTACACTATCAAAAGATAAGAGAACTGGACTTAAGAGCTCAAGATTTGAAATCAGAAAAACTGATTTATAGTTACCACTTACAAATTATGAGTGGTTTTTGTCAAGTCAAATAGCCCCTTTCAGTTCCAGTTCTGGAATTGGTAGCAACTACTTAAGATAGTACATGTGAAAGAACTATTTGATAGAGTTGTACAAGTACTAAATATTTTTTAGTATGATAAATGCAGACTTATTTTCTGGACTATTATGTAGTTGCTGCTGACTGGTATGATTCTGATTCTTGGTAACACCATTATCTGGTTGTCAAAAAGGGTTAAATATTATTCCTGTCATTCCTCACAATTTCTTCTAACAAATTTCTAGCTTTATCAATGCTATTGGATATGCCACACGATTTACAGACTCCCTGCTTCTGTTTATGTCAAACACAGGTCTCCTGATGTCATTTTATCCTTTTACTGCCTAAAAATTTTCAGCTAATTCTTAGAAGTTCTGTTCAAATGTCTTTAACTTTTATAGAACCTTCTATACTTCACCAAATTAATACAGATTATCTGTACTTTTTAAAATTAACTTTTACAGTTATCATTGTGTGTGTCTGCTTTCCCACCAGAAAGTGTGAGAATAGTGTGTTCTGTGCTCCATTCGGTCAGGCCAGTGTCCTATTCCTTTGTGTACTTGCCAAGGTCAGCATAGCGTGTGCAGCACACATGACACATATTGTGAATGTGTTGAACATTAGAATCAACTCAAAGAATTCTTATGCTTAGATATAAATATATTATATATATTTATGTAAAATAAATTTAAATCTTTTATTTAGATACAATATAATTATAATTAATACTTGTAGACTGTTGTATAAACAGATCCACCAAAAGTAGCACTGTCAAGCACAGTAACCTCATACATACTTGCCATACATTTAAAGTGAGCGATCTCCTGAAAGTGTGAAATATACACCCGATTCAGTAACACAAAACATTTCATGAATAAATTTTCCTACTGAGCACATGTTGATGTAATGCTTTGGATATATGAGATTAAATAAATAATTCAAAATTTAATATATTTAATATATTATTAAAATTAATTTCACCAAATTTTTTTTTAAAGATTTATTTATTTATTCATACAGAACTGGAGTATAAGCCAGAGATGTGGAGAGTGAGAGGATTTACCAGAGACAGAGTGGGGAGCAGACCAGGCAGATTGACAAAGTAAACTGTTGAGGGGAGCAGCGGGCGAGTCAGGAGAGGTCTGCCGCGCTATATGGATCTCCTCCAGGGTTGGCAGGGATCAAACTCATGCTGAAGTGACTTAAGCTTCTCAGTGCTATGCTTTAACCTGCTGCACCACCCGGGAGGGCCCTCACCAATTTCTTTTTAATGTGACTTTAAAATACAAACTAGATTTTAACTAGAAAAATTTAAATTTACCTCATTTAAAATTTAAATTTAGCTAATTTTCTTCAAGACAATGCTATCCTAGAGGTTTCTAGGTTAGAAGTGGGAACCAAATCAAAAGATTGAGCTCTCAGAAATAGGGTAGAAAATAAAATTTCTCATACAGCTCTAAATCCTCATTAGGTAGAGGGACTACCTAAAGGATATTTGGAGAGGCATCTAAGAAAAATAATTAATTATTTTGGTGAAATGATTGTATCTTAAAGATATCTCTGTTTGACGCTATTTTTAAATCCTGCTCTAAAATTGTTCATGCCTGCACAGAGGTGGTCAGAAAACTATACAGCTCTTACTTGTTTTTAAATTTAAATTTTTCTCTATGAATGACTTATTTGCTTGGTTTTTCACTTCTCTTAGTCAATATGGATTCTTTATTCTAAAGTAGAAATTCCAGCAATTACAAATAAAAATTTTTTTTCTTCATTTTCTATTTCAACACCTGCCTCTAGTAATATGTACTTTTCTCAAATATGGTGAGTCTCTGGTTTAAGAGATACAAACAAGCATTTAGTCAATTTTGTCATTACTGACCTGCATTTCATATTTCAGAGTCATGTGGAAGCACCAGGATCCCATTCCTACCACTGAAATTAAAACAAACAAGCAAAATTACCAAAAAATTCTTTGTGGGTTAGACAAAGGTTGACCTGAGAAGAAAATAAAACATTTTAAAGCCCTGAGTTTTAAGAAGAACAAAGTTTATAAAATCTTGAAGGACATAGTAGACTCTGAGTGAGCTCTATAACTGATGGAGTCTGGTATAGAAAAAAAAACATTATAAATTCCCTTATAACTCTTTACTACCTATGTATCTATTGTGATGATCATATGATTTTTTATCTTTCATTTTGTTGATTTAATTTATTTGTGTATGTTAAATCATCCGTGCACCTCTAAAACAAATCCCACTTGATCGCAGTATATGATCTTTTAAATGTACTATTAAATTTGGTTTGCTAATACTTAGCCAAGGATTCTATGTTCATCACAGATACTGGCCAACTTTTTTTTTTTTTTTCATGTTGTCTGGTTCTGTTTCAGCATTATACTGGCCTCGAAAAGGAGATAAAAAGCATTTACTAATTTTTTATCTTTTGGAAGATTTTGAGGAGGGTGGGTATTAGATCTTTGAATGCTTGGTAAACATCTGGTCCTGGGCTTATAGGTTTGGGAGGGTTTTGATTACTGTTTCTTATGATCAATCTGTTCAGATTTTTCTGTTTTGGGAGGTTGTACAATTCAAGGAATTTCTCCATTTCTTCTAGGTTGTCTGATTTGCCAGCATACAGATGTTCAGAGTAATCTTTAATTATCAAAAATGACTATTTTTAGAATTTGGGGTTCACAATACAACTGAGCAGAAGGTAAAGAGATTTTCCATATAAAGCCTTACCCCCTCCCACCGCCAAGCATAGCTTCCTCTACCATAATGTAGGTAATACCATAATTACCTACAATTAATAAGTCTATATTATTAGAAACTAGTCCCTAGTTCTACTATAGTTCACTTTATAATAACATGTACCATTATAGTATCATAACAGGATAATTTCATTACTTTAAAAATCCTCTGTGTTTTACCTGTTTATCTTTCCCTCCCCTCTATGCCCTGACACTTATCTTTTTTACTGTCTTCATAGTTTTACCTTTTCCAGAATGCCTCATCGTTCAGATTACACAGTATGGAGCTTTTTCATATGACTGGTTTCTTTCACTTAGTAAAGTCGATGATCTAAGATTCCTCCTTGTCTTTTCATTGCTTGATATCACCTTTCTTTTTCACACTGAATCATATTCCATTTCCTGTATAGACTCAAGTCTATCATTCACCTTCTGAAGACCATTATGATTGCTTTCAAGTTATGGCATAATGAATAAAGTTGCTCTAAACATCTGTGTGAAGGTTTATGTGTAGATAGAGGTTTTTAATTCTTTTGGGAAAATACCATGGAATATGACTGTTGAATTATATGATGAAAGTTTGATAAGAAATCACCAAACTGTCTTCTAAAATTATGCATCCCACTAGAAATGAATGTGAATCAATGTTGCTCCACAACCCAATTCCCTTTTAAACAAATACTTCCTGACCACTTAACAAAGTTCAAAGTATTTCACTATATAAAGAAAGCAAAACATGAAAAGTATGAAAAGGACCTTTTCAGAGTCTATGCAAAGGGATTTGATTATCTCTCCTGGAGATTCTGAAGTAATATGTAAATAGAACTTAATGAATAAATTGGAGCTAACCAAGTAAAATAAATTTTTTTTAAATGAGATTATTCTATGTAGCAAGTCATCTAGAGGAAAGGCAAGGAGTATATTCAAGGAACTGAAAAGGACCTGGCTAAAGCTGTGATAAATGTTAGATTAGGAAGCCAGAGAGGAGACTGGCTTGATTTGCAGGAACTTGACTGAGGTTATATTCAAATCTGATTTATATTTGGGGTTTACCTGAAGACAAAGCAAGGCTGCTATAAAACTATACATTCCCCTGTAACCCACACAGGAATTAACATGATTGTTTTTTCATAAAAAAAAAAAATATTAGGAAAATGTCTAAAGGAATAGTCCCCCAAATTTGAGAGCAAAAAGGATTCTTAGCAACCATTTCCATACCACACCCCCACACACATTTATAAATTGTATACATACTAATATGTTAAGATACTTCATATATTTTAAAACACATAAAATAGAAATTTAGAAAAATGAGGAAAAGAAGTAACATATATATATAAAATAGAAGGTACAAAGCTTTCTTGATCATTTTTTTATCATCCCCTGGAGTGTGAGCATCCTACTTAGTAGCTGCTAAATTAATTTATAAAGTCTAAACTCTTTCCAAGGCATTCATGGAATGTCATACTCAAGTTCCACTCATTTCTTTTACCACGACTTGTAACTGACCACACAGACCTCTTAGGTCTCTTATTTCACACTACAAGCTTCTAGGCTGGTTGGCTTTATTTATCCTGTTTTTTTTTTTTTTTTGAGCCTGTAATATCCTGTATCATTGAGCCCTACAAGTCTCTAATCTGTGTCTCTGTTTATTTAAATCTTATGCAACTTTTAGCTTCAATTATTTTTTCTTTCCAGTCCTTTTGACTTTTTTCTTTTGATACAATGTCAAACATCAGAGATTAGTGTTGCTAATTCCTATTTATGTTCTACTCAGTTTCACCAATTTTAACATATTGCCATATAAATTATAGTAGTGTATATAAGATTATATATAAATAATATATAATTATTTTTGGAACCATTTATGAGAAAACTGGATACATTGTGCCTCTTAGTACTTAAATGTCTATTTTATATCTTTGTTTAATGTCTCATAAATCAAATCTTCCTCTAATCATACTAAAAAATCTCCAGAACTAACACAAAGTGAGGCAAATTGAGAACTTATTAAGTATTTGCTGATGGGCCAATTTCTTTCCTTTCTTCTCAATGACCCATTAATGTGTGTTTTATATGTAAAAGGTGGTGAGAAATGACCCTTAGTGGAGAAAATGTGAGAAGGAAAATGAGATCTGAAGAGGTGAACACTATTTAGGTAGAATGTGGACTTGCCTGATAGTGTCATTTGAGATAGAACTACAGGCAGAGATAGTGAGGGAGAACACATAAAGGGAGACTTTACTGTAATACAATCTGAGTAAGTAAAGTATAGACAGGGACAGAGACAGGGGCAAGGTGCAAGCACAGGGGTATATACATAGTGTGTAAGAAAATGGTATAGGTATAATCATTTCATTCAGTAGGACCAGAGTGACTATGAGAGAAGAGAGGAGGCCTTGGGATCATATATAGTATTTTTTAAAGTCTGCATCCATTAGTGTCAGGTGTGGTACTTTATATACTCTATCTCCAAACCTTTCAAGTCCTCCATTCTCATTCTGTATATAAAAAGTGGTGTTCTGAAAGATCAAGAAATTGGTCAGGGTAACATGGCCAATAAGTGGTGGAGTTAAGGTTAAAAACAAAGTCTGGCCCAAAAGTCTTTCCACTGATACTCTTGGAGGCAATGAAGAGAAATTCTGATAAAACTGTAGAAGGGGAGGTATCAAAAAGGGTAACTTCTACTTAGGAAAGGAATTCATGGTGCACTATGTACCTGGGAAGTTAGTATGAAGTCTAGGTTAGTAAAAAACAGGTTCTGAAACAGAATGAAGACAATAAAAGTGGAAAAAAGGAGGCAGATACTGCCAATCAGAAACAGAATGTTGAAAATGTGGCAAATGAGGGGACATGGAAGTCCAAAAGTAGGAGCAAGAGGATCAATTAAAAAGAAACTGGTTTTGTGCCCAGGATCTAAGAAAACTGGAAAAGGAAACAAAGGTAGGAGGTGGCTTATAAAGGGAAGGGGAAAGGAACAAGGATTCCTAAAGCAGCCCTCAAACATAAGCCAAATAGAAGAAACTCAGCCTCAGCTCCACATTTTGCTGTAATCAAAAGAGAGTTTAAGAAGCATTTTGCTCACTTTCTATCATTGATTAACTTAAGCTTTCTCCAGATACATTAAAATGTTGGAAAGAAAATTAGACCAAGAGGATAGACACTGATATTGTGAGTCTTTTAAAATGGTTTATCATGCTGACTACTCTCAGGTCTAAGGGGAAACTATGATGTGTTTATGTGCTTTAACAGGAAGGGGGAGTAGAAGCCTTTTAGTTTTAAAAACTAACAAGTTACAAAAGCTAAAAATATCCCAACAAAGTTAGTAGTACCTCATGATTTATCTCAGTAAAGACTAACTTAGGAAACCTGTGATCAAAAATAAGTTGTATTTTAAGGCTGCACATAAAATTATTTTAAGATTAAGATTAGAAACTAATCTTCAGAAATTACTCCTTTGGTGTATAAATTTTAACAAGTCAAGGCTGATTCAAAGCTTAGAAAGGACTAGTATTTACACACTTCCTTGAACTGATCCATACCACTGAAACAGCACTTTTCTGTTTTCATCTTATGCTGTGCTCATAATTCAGACATTTACCTCTAATGTTTTTTTGTAATGTTCTATTATCCTAATTTTTATGTCTCATTAATTACTTTACCATAGGTTTTCTTTTGGCTCTTTTAATTATTTACACCTAAATCAGTGACTATAAATTCAAGTGCCCAGAGAGACATCTTTGCAAAACAGGCTAAGTGAAAGAAAAATAAGGAATAGTATAGCCATTGTGGTCAACTGGACAGCCCATACTACAGAGACCTTGGGTTGATTATACTATGCAGACATAAACATTCAGTGATATTGCATTTTCTAATTATTAAAAAGAATTTTTATGGGAACTCTCAATTTTAAAATGAAGGCAACTAATTCAAAACATAGCCATGTTTTAAATGAAAAACAATTAAAACACATCTGCATACCAGATTCTGCCACTGAATGATGATGAACATACAATTAAGTTTATCTTTGTGACCTCTTTTCTCTATATATCCATCCCTTTTGGTAATTTTATCAATCACCATGACTGTGAAAATGATGCCAAAACCTCATCTCTGAATTCAAATATCATATAACTCAATTATATGATATTAAATGCCTACTTGACTCTTTAATTCCTTACAG